AAAAAGGATTTTTTACACGGCACCCCTGCTCTCGACAGACGGCACCCCGGTTGGGAAACACTGGTCTAGACGGTGAGACAGTTAAGAGGTAGACCACAGAAACACACAGGAAAGTCGATGTAGTAAGAGCGAGGTTATAGGTGTACACACATACACACACACACACATTGATACAAGAAACACATTTGAAGACAGATCCGAAAACAAACGTACACTCACCTTGCTCTGTTTGCGGTCCAGGTAGAACTGGTGTTGACTGATGGCCATGGCCCAGATGGATTTGATGAGGGTGGGACAGGCGTACCAGGTGTGCACGGCGATGCCACTGTGACCAAACGTCCTCCGCGTTACCGACGCCCTACAGTTGAAGCGAACACAAACCGACTTTATATTCACTGAATTTTATGACATTATCAGTGTAGAAACAAATGTCAAAATGTTTATTACTTATATTTTAACAGACGCACACCATCTTTGTGTTTGTCATTTCAATAAATACACAGTCAAAAAATGTTACCTCCTCTACACTGGAGGAACCACATCCAAAGACACATAAAAACAGCCAATAAACAGACCTGTGACCATGTTATGTTGCTTGGCTAGTTAAGCTAATGCTAAGGTAAAGCTTACTGATGCTTTTAAGATTTTAACTGATTTGTTTTGCAAATTCAACATCTCATCTACTGTGCTAGCTAACTAGATAACATTTTTGCTTCACTGTAAATTTGCAAATATCTTCCAATCACTACCATCCAAAAGTTTGGGATCAGTAAGGTTTTTAATGTTTTTGAAAGAAGTCTCTTATGCTCACCTAGGCTGCATTTATTTGACCAAAAATACAGTAAAAACAGTAATATTTAAATAAAATTTAACTGGAGTTAAATAAGTTTTCTTTTTTAACATATTTTAAAATGTAATTTATTCCTTTGATGACAAAGCTGAATTTTCAGCATCATTACTCCAGTCTTCATCCAAATTTTTGGACAATTGTGTATACTTAGATACTACTAGAAACATAAAAATTAGGGATGCACCGATACCACTTTTTCCAGTACTCGCCCGATACCGATACTTTTATTTTTGGTACTTGCCGATACCGATGCCGATACCGATATTTTTATTGCATTTGTACATTTTTTAAATATTGGGTACAGAAACCAAAAGGGTATGTATAATGTTAGTTGGTTAACTTCGAGTACAGGGAGTACAGGAGACCAGTATCGGGCCCGATACCGATACCAGTATCGGTATCGGTGCATCCCTAATAAAAATTCACACACACAAATAAATACTAAAATGCATTTAAATTCTATTGTATAAAATATTAGCCACCAGTATGATATATATTTATGTGGGAGAAATGAAATGTGAATTGGTGTTAGCACATAATACTCCCGACAGCTCTGCAATGTATCGGCTTAACATACCACACACAGCGCAGCCCACAAAGACACACACACCATTTACACTGTGGTCAAACCCAGCGCACGTGTGTGTCCTGTGATGGGCTTTATAAAATCCTCCAGGCCTCTCCACTAGAACAAAGATAAACAGCAGACCCTCATGTTCTGACTCTTATCAAAACTATATTAGCGTATGTGCGTGTGCTGCATTGACTTTAACTGAATGACAGTGAACTTAACAAGAAGAAAAATACATCATAATCCCTCATGCTGCAAAATAAACAGATTGTTTCATCTTCCTAAACTGTTTTGCTTTTCCTCAGCCTCCAGCATTTCTGTGAACTCCCTCCGTGTTCTCCTCGTTTCTGGGCTGTCGTGGTGGTTGTTTGAACAGCGTGAATGAGGCGGTTTATCTGTCAGCATCTGAAGCAGCGTGTGCTGCTGCTTTTGGCAGCGTCTGCTCACCTAAAGAGACTAACCAGCCCTCGGCATGTACTGTGATGTCATGAGGGCCTGATTAAACCTTAAACACATCCTAAGATTGACAGAGAGAACGTCAGAACAAACTGAAGATCCGAAACAATCAAAGTTTTGACAGAATGAAAGAGAGAAGCGGAGAACCGAGATTAAACTCAAACCACATCTCAATCTCTACAGATAGACAGACAATACGAGGAGGCTATGTTTTTGTTCATTTGTTGCAGCTGTACTTCTGCCCTCTTCTCCACAGGACACAGGAAGTCAGAGATTTCAATCCAATAACAGATAGCTTAGCTTGTGGATGGAAACCAACCAGATGCAACTACGAACATTTACCAATGAAAATTAACAATTTTTCTTTTCAGGAACAGGACACTAAAATGGGTTTTCCTGTCAAAGCCTGATATATTTTCAAGATTAAACAAAACTAAGCTTGTATAACTGATGTGTAGATGCTGTATAAAGATGTTCCACTAGTCAAATTACACCAAAACCGATTCATATTCTACTCTTGTTGCTAGTAAATAATCCAATGTAAAGCACAGTACGTCATGCCACTTTACTTCTAAGTAATTCAAATTATTTCCACACTTTGATCCAAAAGAATCAGAGGACAAAAACATACACAGCTGAGATCTTTCAAAAGTTTCATGAGATCTAAAAAAAACTTTTTTTTAAAACTGCTTCTGAGATGTAGTTTGTCTTTCAAACTGCTGCTGAGATGTAGTGAAAGTGGTGCCCACAACATGTCCTGTCAGTGTATTTGACAGATTGTTTGTAAGCCTATACAGTTCATGACCTGTGAGTTTGAGTGAACACGTGTAGGCTGTAATATAGATTTACCTTCTTGGATCATGGACTTCCACTGAGAACTTCTTCTCCCTGAAGTACAGATTCTCCAACTGTCTCCATTGGAACACCTGCAGAGATGAGAGAACGTTTTTACAACATTCCCAAAACTTCAATCAAACATTCCACGGATGGTGCTCCAACGACTGTAAACTCCTTCCAGATCAGAAAACTTCAGGAAAAGGCTCTAAAAAAAAAATCCAGAAGTAAAGTCCAAGCCAAGATATTTTACTTTTCTGTGCACTTTTGTGCTTATGGTGAGTGCGAGTGAGTAAAATCCTCCTTAAGCACAGGGGAACAATGAGTCCTTCTCTGTATGTGTAGAAAGAGAGAGACTGTTTGGATCAAGAGCGATGGAGAGAGAGCAAGCAAGAGTGGGAGGAGTCAGCCCCCTTCCAAGCCTCTCCTCCCTCTGGGACACACACTTCCTGTGTGGGCGGGGTTTATGGAGAATTCAGAATGATGTGTTTGTGTGTGTGCTGTAGTATCCCCTCAAAACTCTTAAACTCTTTTCTTTTCTTTCGTTAAAAACTTTTCCCCTCATTCACTCAAGAAACCTGGTTCTGGTTCTCATTACACACAATCACGCACACACACACACGGCGGTACACACATTGGACTCCTGGAGCCATCAGCTGCACAGACACAAAGAAAACACAATAGAAATAGAGAGTGGTGGAGAAAATGGTATGAATATATGAAGAGTTTGGTTCCAAAACACGATAAACGCCATTTCAAAAAAAAATTTGAGTTCCCGCCAAAATCAGTATCGTATCTGGTCGGTATTGAAAAGTAAATTTTTACTTTTACGCAAAATGCGATATCCGCCGTGTTATTCTGTCATGTTTTCTCCCTATCTTTCTAAAGCGCGACAAACGCCAGTCTAACTTCTCTGCAGAATACGATACATCCGCTCAACCAATCACAGCGCACCATTCCACGCACTGTAAACAGTAACCGACAAGCTATGCAATATCGCGTTCATAATCGAAGGCGATTCATCGGCGATTATGAACGCGATATTGTGTAGCTTGTCAGTGATCTACGGGTCTGTGTATTAAATGCCGCTCCATCTGAAAGCATGTGATGAAGATTAACTACTAATCACAGAACTGGCTTTACTGACGAGATGCGCATGATAATCACATGCGATTTATCATACAGCCCTAAAAAATGAATAATTTTAACGGCATTGATGAACCTGTGGTAATTTCTGCGGTGGGGAAGAAACGTAAGCTATTAATAAGATTAGTATTGACCAAGTTCAGAGGCTGTCATATGTGGATCAACTTACTTTGTTGTGCACTTTCAACAGTTTCAATATGAAAAATAACTTTTATATTGATTCAATGGATTTATTGGATTTTGGGATAAAAAGAATCAGTTTTTATAATAAATCTTTGAAAATCAAAATCTGGATTTCAATTTTTAATGTTATTATAACCTAAAGATGCTATGTGAAATTTCCTTAGTAAAGAAAACACATTTTTACTCAAATTAATCTATATGGATTTATAGCGTTTTGGAACCAAACTCTTCATATACTGTACATTTGCTGAAACTGTTTCATTTAATAAAAAAAGAGCTTGTACACTCTTTCCAAAGTATATAAGAGGTATATACAATCTAAACTATCCATAATTGTTAACAGTCATTAAATGTACTTTGTATATAAGCATTCCTTAGCAAAGACCTTGATGTAAGAAAAAAAGAAGAAAATAAAGGAAAAGAGAAATGAAAAAATTATGGAAGAGAGTGGAGAGAGAAGGGGAGGGGGCTGGCTTGAAGAGCTCAAGAATTTTAAGAGCCTGGGAAAACAATGGACAGATCAAGTAAGAGGGGAGGGAAGGAACATAGTTACACACACACACACACACGCAACTATTTCCACATATATCACTAGGATTGGGAATTAAGAACTGTTTCTTATTCAGAACTGGTTCCATTTTTAAAAATATACTGGAATCAAATGACTTTCACGGCATTTGTTTCCGATAACGGTCCTTTAACATCTGCAACATTCCACTGATGCAGATAACATACTGCATTAAAATAGTCTTCCTGCATGTCTACTAAATCTACAATTTTAGATAAGACGAGATTACAATATGAATTGCAATATAAATCAATGAAATGAAATTAGAGAGAAAGACAAGTTGATGCACAATAGTACATAAAGACTCACAAGAATACAGATTTGACAACTACAATGTGAAAACAAATGACTCTTTCTTTGGTCTATTGATACATATAACTAAAATAACACTTATACACATAGTAATAAAATTAGCAGAAATAAAAGTAATAAATAACATTAAAATATGTTACCAAAGATAGTATTGTTTTGTTTAGTATATTGTTCTTTAGAAGTACTAAATGAATTGTTAATTCAATTCAAATTTATTTATAAGTACTTTAAAAACCACAGCATATACCAAAGTGCTGTACTATTAAAAGACTAATTAATATAAAACAGAGGGCAATTAAATCATTTAGTGGAAATGGAAGTAGAATAGTTAAATTCCTTGTTTTCTGTCCCAAAATATCATAGACACAGTGCAACTGAACAGCACAGAGATTTTGATGGCGTGAATGTTTCTTGGTGTTTATGAGAGGCTTTGATGGTCTCATGGGACCAAGAACAAACTTGACCCTTAACACTTTCAAAACAACTTTCATTATGGAGATACAAATCTCTCTCTCCTTAAGAGAGAGGGAGGGAGAGGAAAAAGAAAGTGAGGGAGGCTACAATGTTCCATGAAATCGAAACACTCTGTAGCGTGGTGCAGTTATAAGAGCCAATGAGGCATGGAGCATTAACAACACCAGAGTATTTTGGGCACAGTGAGGTGGAACTGGGGACTTCAGCTATTGTTCTGGATTGAAACAATCTCAGCTGAAAGTGTGTGTGATTTTGAGGCGTGCAGTCACGAGAGGCTGTAAGAGAGAAAAGGCATTTCAAAGGGGGCCCATGTGCCCAGTGATGTGCTGAATCCTGGTTAGTTCCAGCACATATTTCACTGACAGCTGAACCGTGTTCTAGTCCACATGTTATTTGGTTATTTAGATCTGTGGAAACAGGGTTAAATCTGGTTCTGGACTTCAAAGGATTTTAATGAAGGCTCAAAACCATGGTGATGGGGTCCAGAGATTGGCTATGCCTGTGTCTGAAAACCCCACCTCTGTTCTGATGCAGTTGATTCCAGCAAAGTTTAGCATGCAGTTCAACTAAAAACTCAGAAACAAAAGCATGCAAGCACAACACGAACACAAATGTTGAGTGAAATAGTCTATTCTTAATTAGATGGTACCATTTTCCTTTTTTATTTTTCATTAAAATAGATGTACACTACTGTTCAAAAGTGTGAAAGGTATGACTTTTTTTTTTAAAGGCTTATGCTTTTTTCGTTTTTTTCACTTTTTGAATTTTAGTCAGTGTGTAGTGTGTATGTTTGGGCATAAAAAAAGATCTACAAAGTTACAAATCTCAAAGTCCACTCCAAAGGGAGATATTTAGTTTTAAAAAAATCCCTTTTCAAGAACTACAACGAACGGCTCGTTTGGACTACAGAGTTGTTTTCCGGGGTTTTTGTGATGTCACAAAGCGGCCCATTAGAATATCATTAAAATAAATCCCGCCTATGGAAATTTGAATGGTTGGGGGGAAAACTGACCGCCACAAATAGATTTTCCAAAAGGCTTTGACTTCATTGAATAAACATGAGCACTGCATGTTTCAAAATCAAAACCCGGTCTTCAGAAAATTTTGGATGTCATTTTCATTTAATCTTGCATGTAATGTCTGATAATTTTTCAATTCAATTCAATTCAAGTTTATTTGTATAGCGCTTTCCACGATACAAATCGTTGCAAAGCAACTTTACAGCAAATTAAGTTTCTACAATATTTAGTGGTAGCTTATCAGTGG